GTTGCCTGACTGATATGATCAGGTCTCACAGTTACAGCTGCCATAGGGTCAGCAGCTGAATGGGAAGGATGGAGGTGGTTGGTGCTGGTTGGTAAGTCTCCACCATTCCTTTGCAAACAATCCTGATCCGCAGGATGTAACCCGACCGGAATATTCGGGAAGTGTTCAAAATCGAGAGTGTGCACAAACATACGGTCGTGCAGTTCCTCGTTTACAGCGTTCACACAGGACAGTCCACTTAAGTCTGGTAATTGGGAGAACGAATTCGTGGTGGGAGGGCAGAAGTTAGTTTCGGGAATCAGTGACACCCGGTTTCGTGCAACGAGGTTGTTTGTCTCGGAGGCTGTAGAGTTCTGCAGAGCACGAGGTTCAGAATCAAGCCTCATGAGTGTTGGGGAGAACTTTTGTTGTGAATCTGATGCACCAGTCCATGAACTGAAGCCGCTATCGTTCTTGCTAGCTCCATCATTTTCTTGTCCATAATTATCGATATTATCGGAAACCGCTGCTGAAGGCTCCGTGTTGGCCGTGAATGAAAACCTCGCTTGGTTTGTCGTTCTACCTACAGGTGGAGAGGTGTCCAGACCTGTGTTCGAGGGAAATTCGTTGAAGTACGGAAGGGAGGCCAAATACGATGAACCCAGATCCTCAGTGAATGCAAGTGGGTCTTCCAAAGTTGACGATGCATTTGAGACGTCTGTGGACGTGGGAACTTGAACAAATTCAGACAGAGACACAAACGTATTGTCTCCCATCGAGTTACATCTAGCGCAGCAGCTATAACTCGAATGAAGGCGTTTTAGTCGTCAGCATGGCGTCTGCATCGCTCCGGGAATCATACGACGATTGGCGCTTGAAAATTGACGTGTCAGGAGCACGTCACTTTCGTCCTGTGCGTCCGCTCCGCTCAGCCAATCATCTGCCAAAGGTTATCAACTGAAGCGACCAATCAGATTTATGCTACACCGACATCGACACAAGTGTGGCTGAGAAGCACGGTGCTTTCCGGGCAGAAATGCAGGGTGAACAGTCTCATGTCCACACCTGCCTGCTTATCCGAACCCAGATTGGACACCGCACGGGTAGGGTGGACGTAAGGACGAAAACACAGTGGCGACTTGAGTATTTCCGCAGCCCACGTATTTCCTTTAAAGCGGTGCCTGGAAGAATGGATCGTTGAGCTTCTCGTTGTGCTGGTCCTCTGCACGTTCGTGTTCACTCGCCTCTTAATTTATCCGACTTTTTGACGACGGAGCTAGGCCAAGATACCTACTACAACGAAAGCGAAGCGAATTCATAACGTACCTTGGTAGCATAGGGTGTATTTACCATCCGCTAGCTGAATGTCTTCACTGCACGGATGGGTCAGTCTATGCGTCCGGCTTGTTTCAAGACCGTACGTGCTTCCTCAATAATTGACACTACCTAATTACCTACCCAAGCCATGTGGGAGCTAGCAATGCACATTTGATGTATGCTAAAACTGGTAGCCTTAATAACAATGCGCTACTAACTGTATCTACACTGTTCTCCAGATGCATAAAAATTGGTAGCTGATTTGGGTATATTTGTTGCTGAAACGGTGGATCGGCAAGTGTTTCGCCACCATACGATCAACGTCCGGTGTGGACAAGCCTACTTAGGACCTTCTACACTGATATAAACATGTGGAAGCTAGCAACATATTCGGACAATAACTTAGAGTGACAAGTGTGCTAAACCCACTTAGTGAAATACTGCTGCAACTCTTAGTCAGGGAACATGTACTTTGGAATTAATTGCACCGGATACCAAGCTATGCCTTTCAAATGCTTCAAACAACCAGTGCAGTAACTTACTCACTCCTCGGCTCTCCTGCTGAAAAATCAACTCGAACTTGTTGCATAAAATTTTCTTTTCAATAACAGTAAACCGTTTCACTCAGATGAACAGTCATTTCAAGCAAAGTTTAATGTAGTTTTGTTAGAGCCAGCCACCTTGGCACAAAATGATACAAATATTTGACTGCTGTTGTAATTTTTTTGTGTGTATGGAAAAATCAGGGAGACAATTCAAGTTCTGGCTGGTTTCTTTTTGAGCAAGTGTATAAAACAAGAAAGATTTCCGATGCCTGTTTTATGAATAGAGTAGTTCTGCCTCAGAATAACTAATCAAGGAGAGCGTGTTCATCTCCCTAGGGTAAATAATGTTTATCGACCATGACAGCAAGTAAATTGCATACCTAAAATTGTGATGACCCAGTAAAAACGATGAAACCAGTGTAATAATATTACAACCCGTTCTTAGAAGTCCTGTGATATGATGCAGGGACTCATGAAAGACCCAGTCTCCGTAGCAAAAGTTTGGACAGCCGTTTGCCGGGACAGTACCCATAAGGCTGCTGAAAACTCTTCGACAGCCTTAAGAGCAGCATGATCTGTAGAGAAAATTTACTTCGATATATCGAATGTTGTACCAACTGAATCATGGAGCAACTTTATGCAGCACATCATCATAATTGTCAGTTGTAACAACCGCGTACTCGTCGTACAGTGGTTGTAGCTGCC